TTTTTTTTTTTTTAATTTTAAAATTTACGAATTATAAATCTTTAAAAAAATCTGGAAAAAAAATGTGTCATAAAATTTGCGAATTTCAGATTTTTCTGGTAAAGAGACTGAATGTTATCAATTATTATTAATCATTACAACTTATAAAAATCAAATAAAAAAAGAACAAATTATGTACAGCTGCAATAAACAAGCACCGCAGTTCACTAGAGGGCGTGGATATAGAGTACAAACTAGTTACTAGACCAGTGATGTCAACGTTCACCGTGACGTCCGTTTGGTCGAGTGATTGATCTTTCTGCCTTTATATCTATGGATAGAATCAAAGCATGTTTTTGAGGGTTTTAGGTGGCTGATGACCTTTTTCAAACTCAGGCGTAAAAATCAATCGAAAGTAGTAACTCGGAAATCCTACAGCTAATTTTAACCACTGGCGCCATCTGGGCTTCGTTTTGCACGGTCAACCATCCATAGCCTTTTCCTTTCAACCAATCAACTATTTGAATGCAGTCGTCTTAACATGCTATGTTTCACTTAGTATGAATGTCTCTTATATTTGTACAGTTTGTGAAAATTTAATGAAAATCTGGAGAAATTACTTTGAATCTGGCAATCAAAACACAATCTCGTTTTTTTTTTTATTCGCTACGTGATCCGTGAACAATTCAGCAGCAGTTTCTCTTCTCTTTAGAAATCGTAAATCGACTTTTTTTTGTGTTTTCTTGGGGAATAACGTAAGCGTCATAGAGTGTGTGTTTTCAAACAGTGAAGTTGTGCTCTCTGAACTCTTCATCTGGATTTTGGCATATTGAAGCTTATTATTAAGTAAAACTGTTAAAATATTTTATCTTTTTGCTAAGTATATCTTTTTAAACAGTTAGCAACAAATAATAACTTATTTTATGGAAAATATATATAATTTAAAATTAGGCCTAAGAGTATTGAGCAATTGTTTGGCGCTTCTTTTTTTCTTTAAGCCTAATGGGCGAAACATAAGTATCTTGACATACTTTTTCTTTTTTTTCTTGTAATGCAGTTGTCAGAAATAGTGTATAAATGAAAGCTAAATAACTAATTCAAGCTAAAGCTTTAAGTATTGAGTTATTTTATTTGAATAATATGCTGTTTTATACTAATGTATATGAGCTTGTTTTTCTTCCGCAATTGTATATTTTGGGGAGAAGGGAAGTTCTTTACAAATTTACTTTGTCGTCTTTATTGTACACATGTATTAAATTTTTTTTTTGTAATATAGGAAACCAGTTTATAGAACATTTGCTTTTTTTCGGTGGCTTATTTGCTTTGTATTTAAATATACATATTTTGGTGGGTTTCAATGGCCGTATGCAACTTAAAACAGCAAAGCGCTGATATTATGTAGTTTAAATACGAGTTTGGACTTCCAAAGTTTCATTGTTGTATTTCTTTTATGAACTTCAAATTTTAAGTTTGAAAAATATTGTTATTATTTTAATTTAGATTCTAAAGTTTTGCTTTATATATTTGTTAGCTTTACTCCCTGATTAAAAAAAAACAGAGCCCCGAGTTTTTAATATTCTTAGTGCATAGCTATGTTTATTCATGATTGAACATAACAGTATTCAAAATTATGCTGTATTCTGCATGATTTAACAGGCATCAACATGCCTAGATTTGAATTTAGTTAATAAATTTCATGTTTGGCTTAATATGTACTGATATGCAGGGATGAAAGGAATAGTGATTTGGACTAATAGCAGCATTTTTTTTTTTGCGGAAATTTTGTCATTATTGAAAAATAATAAAAACTTAGCAGTATTGGTATGGACTAAAGGGGAAAAAAAACTTCTATCTAACTATATTAAAAATAGAAATGTTTAAGATAGATATTAAGATAATTAGTAATTTAAAAAAAACTAATAAAATAAACTATAAGTTATTAAAAAACGAGCTAAAGACAAGGTGTTAGATTATTCTTTATTAAATCTATTAAAATTTACCCTCAATTTAAAATTTGTCTATTTTTTTTCCACATGATATTACTTTACTGAATATTTCACCAGATCTTCAGAAAAACTAATATTCGTTACATCGCTACTTAGTTACATTGTATCTTTTTCAAAAACTATATTTGAATTGAATCATTTTTATTTATTGGTTTAAATAAAGTTCATTGTTGAATTTGGTTATGTATAATTGTTATAATAAAAAGTAATTGAAAAAACTATTTTTGGCAAAGCTATTTTTAGACATACTCAATTCCAAATCATTTAATTGGGAATTTTTTTTTTGGCTCATCAATTTGGGTTTAATGATTTTTTGCATGCTTGTTGAACTTACCATATTAAGTAGTATTTGTCATATGCTTCAAGCAAAATTACACTAAAATTTTCGGCTTTCGCAATTGTCTATTTTCATTGTAAAGTGATAAGAGAGTTGTAAAAATCAGCTGACAGTAGGCTCTACTGCTAATGATGAGATTGCTAATCTTGGGGCAGCATGCATTCAACTTAACACTGACTTTCTTCTACCTTGCATGAATCGTAACATTGTCTGCTTCATATTATCTTTTTCTCCCTTTGCAAATTTTTTTTGTTGCATATGTCCATAATTTTTCATATTACATTAAATGTCAAAGTTATCTGCAAAATTGGAGAATCACCACCAATGTATCCATGCACAGTGTGCGTGCGTCTAATATTATCCAACCATGACTATTATTTAAATTAATAATGTGCTGTCATCAATAATATGATATTTTATTATAGGTTTTACCTGAACTTAGTTAATACATTTTCTCCATTTACTTTGCTTCTTTGTACATAGCTTATTTAATTTCCCTTTTTAATACCTTAACGAACCATAATTAAAAACCAAATAAATGTTTTCAGATACCACAAGTGATACTAATTTTGTAATGTATGCAGCCACATTCATTTTAATCATTGGGTTTACCTGATAATAAGGAATAGAAAATCATTACCTTTTAAATAATATGCAGTAAATTAATTTGTTTAATGAGAGCTCTGTCAGTGCTTCCATAGCTAATAGAAAAAAATATGGGCAAGAATTTCTCATCCTTTCTCAGAAACAGGATGAGATTTCAAAAAGTTAAGTAAGATTTTTAAAAATTAAAAAAGCACAGACTTGAAAGAAAAAAAATAATTTCTTTAATTATAATACATTTTTAACATCAAATTTTTAAGCGTTGAGTATTTTTACTGCATCATCATAGAAGATTTTGCCTTCACAAGGTATTTGTCCATCTTACATTAGTTCATAAAAAAAATTTGAAAGTCTTGCATGAAGATAGCTTATCTACGGTAAACACGTGGTTGCAGATAAATGTGTTTTGGAAGGGTTCCGTGGTTCAGAGGGGTAGTGTTCTGTTCGAAAAGGTTCAGAACAATGCTGGTAAATAGGTAAGCTAGATAACGGGGCAGATGTTGAAAATAGTGAAAGGGATTTTATTCTAAATGGTGTAATGCGAAACTTTTTCCAAAATTACAGAAATTTGCGAATTTTGAAATTAATCTATTTGATTGAAATTAATTTAAATTTTGAAATAAACCTGCGCGAATTTCTCACGGTAATAATTTTTTGATGCAAGAAAAAAAGGTGCTGTAGTGAAAAAACTGGCTCTAAGCTGGGAACACATCGCTGATCTTATCTTCAAAATATAAACAGAATTGTTAGTAGGTTAATTTTTGAGTAGCTAGTTGACGTAAAGCAATGGCAACCAATGAAAAAATTTAAGATTTTTAAAACTTCACATGAACAATCTAATTAGATCATTTAAATGAATTTTAGGCTTAATCAGAGGCTAAAATTGTCATCTTCATTTGCTGTCATAATTTAAAGACTCTAAAATAAAAGGTTTTCGCAGGGTTGCAAAAAAAATACACCTACTCAGTAAAACCCTCTCTAAAAAACCCAGTAATATTTACTGGGTCTTTTCTAAAATTGATTTCTTTTTTATCCTCTGTTATATTAAAGAGCTATTCTGTTGAAGTATATGTAGTCAAACCTAAAAAAATGAGCCTATGGTGAAAAAACTGTGTTTGGAGGAGTTATCTTGCTGGCTAGATTTGACTGTATAACCATTGATTAGACAGTGCCTTTGATTCCCTTTCTATGCAAAAAAAAAATTATATCCTCAAATATTTTTAAGATTAAAATGTAAATAAAAAGCAATCTTGTGTTAAAATAAGTTTAAAATGTGTGTATGTGAGTACATATGACATTTTGCATTGTGATGTCAAAAGAAACTTTTCAGACTTTTACACTAATTTATTTGTATTAATATTGAAATAAGGTAATTATCCCTGCCCTCTTTTGAAAAAAGAAAAAACCCAAATACAACATGGAAAACCGAGAAAAACTCAGTAGAACCCAGAAAAGCCCACTTCGGTTGGGTTTTTCTTTGAAAACCTGGTTTTTTTTTTGCAACTCTGGGCTTGAGGTATATAAGACACAAATTCTTCATTTTATAATTTTAGATTAAGAAAGAACTAGAATTTTAATAGGTCAATACTAATAAACAAAAAAAAACAATGTACTACTAGACTAATAAACAATGCTATAGGGTGTGTAGTTTATTATATGTATGCATTTTTTCAACCATGCTAAATTATTATAAATTTATATAACTCAATTTCATTGAATATTGTTTTAGCTTTTGAGATATGGCACGTACTAAGCAAACTGCGCGTAAATCAACTGGAGGAAAAGCTCCCAGAAAGCAGCTGGCTACCAAAGCTGCCAGAAAGAGTGCCCCATCAACTGGTGGAGTGAAAAAGCCTCATCGTTACAGGCCCGGTACTGTTGCTCTTCGTGAAATCAGGCGTTATCAGAAATCTACTGAGTTGCTTATCAGAAAGCTTCCATTTCAGCGATTGGTAAGAGAGATTGCCCAAGATTTCAAAACAGATTTGCGTTTCCAGAGTGCTGCCATTGGTGCATTACAGGTACATAGTTATTTTAGTATTTTTAAGTTATAAGACTAGTGTCAACCTTTTTATGTAAGTTGTATCACTTTTAAAAATTAACACTTAAAACAGGCATTTAACATCGGTGAATTTTTTACTTAAAGTGGGTCCTTTTTTAATATAAAGAAATTTATGAAGATAATGGAACACTTTTCTTTTTTATGTGTACTAACTCTTTTTGCCAATTAGATAGTTTTAATTATCAATTTGCTAATAGTACCAAATAAAGTATCACTAACTTATGTGTAACAATTTGTTAAAGTGCAAATTTGGAGGTCTCCACAGGGCAACTGAATAAAAGTGACTGTAAAAAAAAAACTATCATTCTGCTATCAAGGAAGACAGTGTTGCTTTTTGCCACAGGATGGCTGGGCTTCAAATGCCAATATAATGCTTGAGAAAGAAAATAGCTGAAAATGAAAAACAAATGTTTAAAAGGTTTAAAGTCTTAACTGGTCTGGTATCTAGATCTTAGTTAGTTGAATTTATTCAAAGAGAAAAATATGCAAAGGTTAAGGTTATCAGATTGAATACAAATAATACTAACAATATGAGCAAAAAATGTGAGCTAACAATGTACATGGATAACACGAATTTGTACCAAACATTTAATAAATATAATGATGTTAAAAGCCACCTATAGATGATGTCATTAGGCGAAGTTCGCAAGAAAGTTTAAGGAAAGAAAATACAAAAATTAATAATTAAATTTGGGTTAAGAAAACGTCTTTGAGAGGATTAAGTATTAAAAGTATAGTTAAAACAAGGTGAAAAATATTGATAAGATGTAGATGTAAAGCAGAACATATTGTGATGGTCAGTTGCTATGAATATTCTTTAAATACTTGCATCAATTAAAAGTGGTTATGTATTGTAATCAAAATTTTCATTCCTCTGCTATTCTTATAAAAACTTTTTTTTTTCAATGTAAGGTTTAAATTTTGAGAGCATAAATTTTTTATTTTTAATTCCTACTCCATTCATTTATTTAAAAAATAATAATAAAGAAAAGCAGGATACGTTGAAAATTCTGATGAATAAGCTTTAAAGCGCTACAGTGCAAATTTACATTTCTTACAATGAAAAGGGTTCTGTGAAGGTCATTTTTATAACAAAATTAAGCATTAGAGATCCTGGTGAATAGCTACCACTGCTGACCTTACAGAAAAATATGCTAAGTTTGTCATTAACTTTAATTTAGCAGAACTTTCTAGCTCATGTAGGTTTGTGGCTCATAGGTTAAGCATAGTTCTCCCTTCAAAATAAAAGGAAAGGACAGGCTGTTTCCCCACAGAAAAGAGCACTTTGAGTTTTAGAAGAGTACTCACTTACCACTAGGACTGGGCGATATTAGAAATTATAAATCGTGATGCATCGCGATATAGTATTTTTGAATTTCATTTACTTGTAAGGCACAGAAAGTCAGATTTCTATCAAAACTCCATACTTAAATTGATTTAAATCAATTTATAAGTTTGAAGATATATATGTTTTGCTTAAGAAAGATATTAAATAAATTGACTACTATGCACAAAACTTAAAATATTTATTGAAAAAATGTGTAGATACAGAATGAAATATTTGCACCTCTTTATCGTTTATAAGGTATTAACATGTCTAATTAAATACCTAATTACCTAAATTATTAATTCATTATTAATTTAGGTAATTATTAGGTAATTTTACTAAGCTTTTAACTAGAAATAAAAGAAAGTTTAAAACGATAGGTTTATGAATTATTTGAAAATCAATTAGTTTAAGCAAATGAAATTTTGAGAAAAAAAAAGTTTAAAGTCATAAAAAATAATTTTACTAAATGAGCCGTATAAAAATAACTTTAATAATTACATAATTATTAAGTTCGATTGTAATGTTCAAATTCTAAATTAAAAAAAGTAAACGCTAGTTTTGTTATATTTTCTAAAAATGATCACGCAAATAATGAAAGATTTCTTAATTTAAAAATAAATGAAATAGAAATTTATCAATATATTTACCTAACAATATAGAAAGAAAATTTAAAAAATAAATTTGTTAAAAATTATTTGTATGTTCAAAACAAAGTGCTAAATAAATTACAAAAAAAAAGAAAGAAAAATAAATAGTAAAACACTTTTAAATCACTATTTTTAATATTATTATTTCACATAATCACTATTAAATCACTTTTTTAACTAAACTATACAGAAATAAAACTCTTTGCAGTAAAGTTGATCCCGGCCTTTTAAAGAATGTTATTGTAAAATTCAGAAAATTATTAGTAATTTATATTCACTAAAATTTATTATTATACCCCCCAATTTAAAGGTGTGAATGTCTCTGAGGCCGAATATCATTCGAATTTTTATTAAACAACTATACAGAAATAAAAATCTTTGCAGTAAAGTCGATACTTTCTGAAAGAAAAGATCTTATCCTTTAAAAATAAGACACCTTCCCTGAAAGAACTCAAAAACTGAAGGTGTCAATTTTTATAAAATGATTGGCTATTATTCAGAAAAATCAAAACAGGTATTTTGTAAGTCCCATGAACATAAGCCAGTTTAATGACACATCCCATACCTATTCTTATTCATATTCACACATTTTTAAAATAATACATTGTGAATAATCTTCTCGCTATTTGAAAATCACATCATGGAAATGAAGAACACTATCTGGAAGGAATTCCCGAAACTGAAGTTCTTTGCCTCTAATGCATTGCCCGGATTAACGGCTTCTGTGGGAAAACTTTTTTCAGGGTGAATTTGGTATGTTACAAATTAAAGAGCAGTCTTTCTATGAAATTATTAAATTTTAATTTGAGTGCCCCGCTAAACTGTCAGATAAAATAGTTCAAATCACAATATTAAGTTCTGCAAGTGCAGAATAACCATTTAAAGAAATTCTTAAACCTCTCTCAACTTGTATGAAGCATTTTATATCATTTATGATTAAATGGTGGAAAATAGTTTTTTATTAAATCTTTTAATTGTAATTAAGTGTAATCAAAATGTTGTCAACTAATCAAAAATTGTCATGTAATATTAATTTGAATTAATTGTAAATAAGTATTAAGTTTTTTATTAAGGAAAATAGTTCCTTCACTCTTCAGTTACTATGGTGTATTAAATTTGCATTTTATGAATACCATTGCAGGAAGCCAGTGAAGCATACCTCGTTGGTTTGTTTGAAGATACCAATTTGTGCGCTATTCATGCCAAACGTGTAACCATTATGCCGAAGGACATCCAGCTTGCTCGTCGTATCCGTGGTGAGCGAGCTTAATAAGCATTTCTTTGTGGACATTTTATCATCTCCATCAGAAACATTATTGTGTGTCACGTCTTTATCTATATTTTTTTTTTCATTGTAAATTTTGTGTTGTGCATTTGGTGGGTTTATGATACTTATGTAATGCTGTATTACCTTAAAAACAAATAAAAGTATCAAAATTAAAGTGTAATGACTAATTTTTATTTTGTCCTATTTCATTGCATATTTTATTTTGAAAATAATGGCTGGTTATATTTTCTGAATTAGACTTATTAAGTTTTTGTTTCTTGGCCATTTAAACTGTCATTTAATAGAGAAATCATTTCAGAGATTACCTGATTAGTGCTTATGACTGCAAAAAGATACAATGTATTTATATTCTCACATTGAATTTGCTTTCAGTAAATACAAAAAATATTTTTATTTGTGTTTGTAGGCTTAGTATTTAACAGAAGTAGACTTATTTGCAGACCATAAGTATTATCTTACAAAGTCTTATATTATGCTTAATGAAAATAAATTTTCTAGTAAATAAAAGAACATGTTAAAACTGAGAAAAACAGCTGTTTAAACAAACATAAATTTTTTAAAAAAGGTTTATTTTTTTAAAGCATTTTTTAATAACTTCACAAAGACTATGCTGAGAACATTTTATATTTCCAATATTAACTTATGGTTTATATTGAAAAAACAATGTGTCAATATAATTATCTATTGGTAATTTAAAGTTTCCTAAAAGGACTCTCGTTAGCTGATTAAATTCTATTTTCAACCGGTCTCTATCAGACTGAACTCTTACCATCGGGCAAACCATTAGCTTATTTTTCTATGTTTAATGTGGTTACGCCTTAGTAAACTTCACACAGAAAGCTTTTCAAGACTACAAATTTGTCTTTGGTTGCTTGATCCAGGAGTTTCCTTTAGGAATACAAGTTATTGGGTACGCATAAGTGGACAGCAAGACTGCTATATGAATCACACACATTGGTACTGAGAAAAATTTTTGACAAAGAAAAAGGTTTATGAGATTGTACTGAGGTAGATCCTGTTGAATGTTTAATCACATGACTAAATATCACATTCTAATAGTTAAGATTTTTGGTCTAAGTATTTTAAATGTTATTATAAATTATAGTGAATTAAGTCGCTACTAGCAGATTTCTCTATAGCAAAGCCTCATTAATCATGCTGCGCTCGACCAGTCATTTCAAAAACTTAAAAGATATATTGGTGTTTATATGTGTGTAATAAATTTCCTTAGAACTATATCTTGTAATATAATGTTTGGTAATAAATTATAAGATTTTTATATCTTGCATAATTGTTATATCCGATTGGGTAGTATCTACAGAGACACCAACTTGCTTGCTTTGTAAAAAAAGAAATATATATATTTTCTAATGATGACAAAATTTAAGTTATTTTTAATTTAGTATTTTTCATTTTATTTTCGCCACTGCTTATCAAAAATTCAATTAAGAAATGCAACTTATTTGCAATTTATGTTGTGACCTTTTAAAGAGCGGACGTAATAATTCTTATACTACAGGAGTTACTATTTAATTTGCTACCCATTTATTAAAAGTTTAGCAGTTGGTATCCCTGCTAAAATTTTTGCTGGTGCTTTGAACCAGCAGGGTTAAAGATTCGATTTTATCCCGGTACATTACAAGGTGGCCAGTCTTTTATAAAATTATCGCAAATTTTAGTTTTTTGTTAATTGCTTATCTTTTTTTTGTTGAATTTTTAGAATCCTAATAAATTAAAATGTTTCATGCTGTTAAGAGTGGATTTTTTTAAAATTAGTTATTCCACATACAAAAGTTAAAGTAAGGCATAAGCTAACACAATTTACTACTCCACTTAAAAAATTTATCTCTTAAATTAATTTTATTTGTTTTCTTTTATCTGATTTTCATCAGTTCTGTTTTATATTCTATAAATATTTGAACTGTGCGTTTTATGTAATAGTTATGCTTATAAATTTTTTTTTTTAAATAAAAGTAAGTTTGCTTTTCTTTTTACAAGAAGTTAAGAGCTAAGACACACTATTTTCAAAGATTTTTAAAAATAATAAATTTTCTTTCTTTTTACGAGAAGTTAAGAACTAAGAAACCAAACTATTTCTGCTTTACGGAAATTGTCTTTGCTTGTTTGAATTTAGAATTTATCCATATTGGCGCCCCTCAATTTTAAAACCCCTGATTTGTAGGAGGTACCTTTGCTACTTTCTCTAGATTAAGGGAGCACACAGTAAAAGCTTGTAAAAAAGCATTTTTTAATAAATTTTTCAACGGTTCAGATAAAACTTAATACAATCTTATTGCACGTATTTTAATCTTTATTTCATCGTGTTGCAAATACAGAAATTTAAAATAGTTATTATATAATACAATGTTTAAGTTATTTTTTAAATTGTCCGCAACTTGTAGCTATAAGTTGGAGAGGAAAAATCATCCAAGATAAATTTCGTTTTGATTTTCCACACAACAGATAGTTTTTGTTGCACTAGGGATTTTTCTTTTAAAAAATATAAATTTTTTTCATTAAGGGTGGTGCTATGACGAAAAATGATCTAAAATAAGTTTTATTTTCGTGGATTTCTCAAAACCAGTCTCCCCAATTTAAAAAAAACCTTAAGTGCAACAAAAATAATATATTTTTGTGAAAATTGTCAAAATTTAAAGTAAATTTGTTAAAGTTAGAGATTCAGAAAGTAAAACAGTTCCGATTTGAAATACCATGTGATCAATGATCCATAAAAATATATAAAATTTTGCAACTAACTATAATGCATCAATACCAGGTCCATAACATGCTTTCTCTCCTTCATTTTCAGCCGTCTCCCGTTTTCTTGTCAACCTGCTGTCATGTTACACCTCGTGTACGTTTTTAAAGTGGCATTTGAGAAACAATGCATTCATCTTCATTTTTAACCTTTATTCTTTAGCTGCCTTTATTTCTAATTTTTTCGAAACTCACGGCGCTTCCTTAAAAATTATTGCAGCCAAGTGTGGTGCAATTTCAACTATCTGCATTAAAAGCGTTATTAATTCTTTTAAGAGAAAGCAAATTCATTAAGAGGACGCCATATCAGGGGAGAAACTTTTCGCCCCAAATTCTCTTTCACCTACATAACTAATTTTAAGTATGGAAGAAGTGAGATGAGACAAATCTAGAGTAAGCCATGAAGTTTCAAATAATAAAAAGAAATTCTTAAAATATCCAAATGAAAATAAATTGAATGAAGGGGAGACGATAACTTAGGATTACTATATGGAGAAGTTCTCTTCAATAATTAGTTGTCATGTTGATATTTTAATTTTTTTTCTTTCTTTCAGTAAATCAGACTATGCGAATTAAATTAGTGGTGCAGATGACAGAGAATTGCTCAAGTTCACATATTCATACAAATCACTGCAACGCGATCAACATACTAGGTTATAACTTTAAAATTTTTGCGAAAATTTATTAATATTTTGGTACTATAATCTTAAAGACAATAAAAAAAACGCATTTTATTTATGTTGGAAAATTTTACTGTGTTGTTTCCTTTTAAATAAATTCCGGAATAGTTCTATTTTTGGGTCAATCTCTGCTCTTCATCACAGCAGGGAAAAATTCTTAGCAGGGAGTACTTTATTTTTATGGGGAAAGAAAAAAAACGTTTTTAGTAACTTAATTTTTCATCTTTTTTGTATTACTAAAAGTGGAAAGAAGAACATCGTGCAGCTTTGTTTTATTTTGATTTTTTGTGCTGAGCTGTGAAGAATTAAATACTAATTTTTTAGTACCAGCTAAAGACTGGTACAAAGTATCAGTTGCAAATATCTGATACTTCAAGTATCAGATACATATGAATCTGATTTTAAATCTTAAATAAAAGTGGAGGTGAGTTATTATTAAGTATAATTTTTGTTGCTCTTATCAGAGCTAAAAATTTACATAGAATTTTAATTAGTTAAATTGCAGACTTAAAAAAAATGAAAATTGATTTAAATCAAATACAGAATTACAATTATTAAAAACAAAATAATAATAATAACTTGCATTTTATATAGAAATATGAAAACCTGTATTTGAAATTGAAATCAATTAGCTTTAATTTTTTTTGAAAATTATTATTATAATTAAAATAGTAACTGTCTTGCCATCACGTCATGATGACGTAATGTTCAAGTTTATCAAACGTAGGAAATGATTTTAGTTGAAAGAATAACTTACAAACATTAATCAAAAGCGTTAAAACTTGAACTATTACCGTCCCTAGTAAGCCCGAATCTTTTAATTTATTTTTTACTAGCCGCCTAAGGCGGCCAGCTCTCCGCCACGCTGAAGGTTTTCACAAATAAAGTTTTTTAAAAAGGAGCAGGAAATCTGAAGATTAGTGGACAATTAAAGTGTTCCTGTCCTGCAATTTTGTCTTCATATCCAGTTCTGCTGCAGATGTGTTATAGCTCTTGAGGATGTTTGAAATTATATAGCTACAACGCTTAAGAAAAAAAAAACTAAAATGCTAAATACATGAAAAGAACACGAAAACGAATAAATTTTTTATGGTATCAATTTCTATTTCTATATAATTTTTTATGGTATCAAATTCTATTTCTATATCTGTTACGTCAAGCACTCAGGTATTATAATTTGATCTAGTTGTGCTTGTATAATTTTGATCTAGTTGCGCTTTCTACGTCATTTTGTTAACATCGTTTGGTTTGTTATTTAACATCGTTTGGTTTGTTATTTCTAAGTTAACTTTCAAAAAATTGGCTGGCATCAGCATTTTTATTCTTTAAGTTGTTTATTTTTTCTTTTGGAATTCGTTCCTTTTTAGCGAAATGTTTTTCAACCTAATCGAATTCTTTGCCGACTGTTCTCTGTATATATAAAGAAAATAAAGTAAATATTTTTAAAGTGTTGTGAAAAGAATTTTTAGTTGTACAAAGTACTACAATATCGCTACAAAAATTATCGTCTTCGCTTAAGAAAAAAAAAATAGAGCGTGGAAAGAAGAAGAAAAACTTATTATAACAATTATGAACAGCGACAAATATATCAAAGCGAAGCGTTCTATTTACGTATCGAATATGTTGCCACATTTTTAATACAAAAGTTAAACTTTTCTCCACTTTAATAAATGTAAACTAATGCGAACTTTACAATTAAATTATTAATTCCTTCGTA